TAAAATAAACGAATAGATAATGAATGGTTAGGAGGTTGCTGGCGGATTAATTTTTGTGGGATAAATATAAAACATTGAACATCAAATTTTCAGACACCCGAAATTTTTATGAGTCTAAATTATTTACGCGTCACCAGTACGTATCATTGGGGGTCAGTTGATGCGTTATTTTTAATCAATCCATATTCCGAAAAAAAGTGATGAATTAACCCTCTACCGCCGTAGGTCACTCTCCGGGTACTCAACTTTCAACTTAAATTATACGTAAACTATTAAGTGAAGCAACCTGAGGACGTTTTTACGCAACAGAGAACATTTTAAAGTTGCCGTACTTGGCGGCAACCTTCAGTGAAAGGCATTTTGCGCTCACTAGAATTCATGTCAGACGGTAGAGGGTTAAGGAGCTGTAATCCTAAGGCTCTTGAAAATATTGATCAATAGAAAATGAGTACATGAATTCATTCTTTTAAAATAAGACGTTTATCAGCCTCAATCAATAAATTGAAGGAACCTCGCGATATAAACAGTAGAACTAGTATCTTGTTCAACTTTCTTCGATCAACGCTCTTACAATAAAAATCGCTTATAGATAAAAACACGACTTCTCTGTTTTCTACCTTCGTCAGTTGCAATAACCTCAACCACAGACTGACAAAATTTTAACAGCGCTTAGTAATGAATTTAAACGCGCAACATGAAAAAAAAACTGATGAAAAATTGCCGATCGTCGTGCAGATTTTATGCCGAGAGTTTAGCGTCAAATACTGACAAATTTATAGGTAGATGAAAAATGACCATATATATGACCAACGCACCACTTAGGCTAAAATTTAACGCATGTGCATGACGTGGTCCCTCAACCCTTTAATGCTAGCTTTTTTAGTGCGGCGCTTCTGCTTCAATATGCCTTTAGTGCGCGCTTCCAATTTACTATTAATTGTGATCTACAGCAGAAAAAGAGGATTTGACCCTTTCATGGGCAAGCATATGCAGAAATTTGAATTTCTGGAGTCACTACGAGGAATAATGGAAAATTCATTCATGGAATTTTCAAAATTTCCATGATATTGGAGAAAATTGAAGATGAGTCTATGAAAAGCGGTCACTACGTTTAAAGAAGTTGAAATTATTTTCAATTTATTAATTCAAATGCAAAAAAATATCAAAGTGGAATAGGGTTTAATTTTATCAAGCTACTTCAAATTCATTAAATTGATATTGCTTCCTCTGACATAATTTTCATTTCAATACTCATATGAACGAAATAAGTTAAATCTCTAATGAAGAAGCTGGTAGCATGCAGTATAATTAACACGAATGGATATAAAACGCTCCAGGGCTGCAATGAAGATATCGTTCGCCTGAAACATATTATTCGAGCTCATTCGATAAAGTTTATGCGAGCCAATAATCAACATCATTTCATGGGAGGCGAGTTACACCCATGGTTGAACTTTATAAGGTTGACCCACGAGGATTTCCGTCTTTCAGTTTCCTAATGTTAAATAAAATGTATAAAAAAAATTTTAAAGACCACGTTTTTCATGTGGACTAAAAAGTAGAAAATAATTTTTCGGCAGCTACTGATCTCTGTTTGCTTTCATTCTCTTGGTCTTTTAAGTGTGTGCGACGGGTTAGTTAGCCTCCTGCCTATTCAGATGCGTGTCCCGTATGCCAATTTCAACCTATTATTCATCTGTGCTGTAAATAAACTTTATTTGAATAAATGCTTGTGGGAACAAGTCTTCATTAATACTCCGACGAAAACTCTTTATAAACTAACTTTGTGAAGAACCCGATCAAGTTATTACAGGGCTCAACTCTGATCAATCTCTTTAAATGAAAATTGACAATAAATAGATAATTTTATTCTGTATAAGCATCTATGAGTGTGACGCCTATAACGAATTTTTTTAAAATCGCGATAACGCTTCCATGTGAATCTCAGAGCGCAATATCGCAGAGGCAAGCAAACAATTATTTAGCGTTACGCCGAATTTATTGTGCTGTCGAGCGTTTAGCATTAACACAAAATAAATTTACTGAAATAGTTTCACCTTTTTCTGCTATCACATAATCGACTGTCAACTGTTTTCCAAACTAAACAGTAAATGTATCTGACAGCAATTAGTGCAGCGAAACCATCAACGCTTCTTCCAGAACAGCTGCAGACAAGAAATGAGCCCTGCACGATGTGATTTATTTCGCTGAACTCTAGAAATTATAGAAATTTACAAACTTACAAAACTTACGAATAATTAGGTTGTTAAATAACTTTGCTGAAGTTGCTTCTTTAGTTTTTACCGATGGCATGAAGTCGGTGCGCCTGATTCCCATTTATAAATTTATATCATCTACAACAGTAAGTGAGGAAGTATAACACCGCTACGTAGAACACTGATAATGTGTCTCTACGTAATGTCTACTCTATCTGTGATAATGTGTCTCTACGTAATGTCTATCTAATGTGTCGTAGAACACTGATAATGTGTCTCGGTGCGGCAACCTGATTTCAATTGAAATCTCTCAGAGCAGCGACCATGTCATCCTCATGAGCTTCTCAAGGTTTATTGAAATTGAAGCTTCTCTGAGTAAATTCCTCTAGAACCCGCAATATATTATAAACAACAATGCTTTATTCTAGCCGTCTACTTTAGATTTCTATGTTGAATCTTGATCCATTATTTTTTTCATATCAACTCATAATATCACCGGTTGAGGAGTTGAGTACACGAAGAGGAGTTACGTGGCTACGTTCGCTCTGGTCTGCAGTGTAGGACTGCTACGCACTCCCCGGCATGCAGTGTAGGACTGCTACGCACTCCCCGGCATGCAGTGTAGGACTGCTACGCACTCCCCGGCATGCAGTGTAGGACCTGTCTCTTATACACATCTAGATGTGTATAAGAGACAGCAATTAAATACATATGCGCCCCACGTTTTTCGTTTTAGATGTTGTAAAATATTTTAACTGAAATACAAAAGACCAAGAGAATGAAAGCAAACAGAGTTCAGTAGCTGCCGAAAAATTATTTTCTACTTTTTAGTCCACATGAAAAACGTGGTCTTTAAAATTTTTTTTATACATTTTATTTTTTACTTTTTAGTTTTATGTTAGTTTGTATGCTTGTGCTGATCAAATCTTGCAATCGAAATTTCAATTTAATTAACCGCGTTCGTTAGTTCTGAAAATCGCCGCTTTAGGGGGAATGGCGCTGCGATCGATTTCCACTTCGAAAATTATTTTGTTTATAATAGTGATAAATACGCCTGGAAACGTGCAACAAATTATTGATTATTGTATTGTCATCGGGAGCTGAGCTTCCCTAAAAGTTTCAGAGCGCTAGCTAGCGGGAAAGTTGGTGAAATATCGATTGCAAGATTTGATCATCACAAACAGACAGACAGACACGAAAGCGAGCTAAGAAAAACGTGGTAAAATTCCTTAATTCCGTCACGTAGATCGAGAAACGTAAACAAACCCGTCATTCCCGTGACGGATTGGTTGACTGGTTTGATCGCATTTCGTTAAATGTTTAATGCCCGTGACGTCACTGATCTCAGTGACGTCCCAAGCGAACAACAAACTACATCCGCGAAAATGAGCTTCTCATGGGTCAACTTTGTACTAGTTCAATCATGGTTACACTCTTTTTGTCAATTAGTTGCTTCCGGAAGAGCATTTCCTGCATGTCCCTCCTATTTATTTTTCAAATATTCCGATTGGACATTTTCTGAAAAAAACGTGTTTATGTAATTTTCTTGCTTGCGCGCAACGCATCATCGTTGCTGTTCGAATTCACCAGTGTGGTTAGCTGGTGATAAGGCAGTTACTGGGGGACTTTCGGTCTCCGTAGTAGACATGCTCTTTACTTCACTGCCATGTTAATCAGATCCTTGTCTGAAGTGTAGGACTGCTACGCACTCCCCGGCATGCAGTGTAGGATGTCTCTATATCAGCCATGGCGCAGCGCAGTTTTAGGGATAGATGGCCGGTTATTGTTTCACGGCTCCATCCTGCTAAAGCGCGACCAGCCCGGCTAAACCCAGCGCCGGTCTCGGCTCAAAATTTTAACTGGGTAGGACTGTTGGGCACGACCTTCCCTGCAGTGTAGGACTGTTGGGCACGACCTTCCCTGCAGTGTAGAATTGTTGGGCTGTTGGGCACGACCTTCCCTGCAGTGTAGGACTGTTGGCACAACCTTCCCTGCAGTGTAGGACTGTTGGGCACAACCTTCCTTGCAGTGTAGGACTTTTGGGCACGACCTTCCCTGCAGTGTAGGACTTTTGGGCACAACCTTCCTTGCAGTGTAGGACTGTTGGGCCCGGACAAATTAAAATAACATTTTATACAATGGAACTTTTTACTGTTCATCTTCTGCTGAAAAGACCATGAATATAGTGTCATATCAATAGAATTCAAAGAGTTTAGCCGATAATATATGCCGCAATTAGGTATTTGAATTTTATATCAAGGAGTTGATCCTAAACGTCTTGTCTCGCCTCGGTTGTCTCCCGGAATTCCCACGGAATTTTGAAAACTGTCTCTATTTTTATCACCAATTGTGATAATTGGCAGAGCCGATTGTGTCCTGATAATTGGCAGAGCCAATAACGGTCTCGTCTCGAATAGAAAAAAAGTATTAAACGCAGTGATATACTGGCACCTGTGTTTTGCGAATGACAAAGAAAGATCTACTCTGGGTTGTAGTTTTCCTATGAACCATGTTCATAGGAAAACTACAACTGTGAAAAAGAATATCTAATAAGAAAAATTTGCAGAAGATTAATGAAACGTACGACAGGTGTTTATTATGGATGTGCTATCTGTGTGCTAAGCATAAACATGTTGTGACAATTGGTATCCATAAGATATGCTTCAAAGGTTCCCGCATAGCTCATATCAGCCAAGATTTCTTTATCTGCTCTTCTAATCTGATATAATTATTTGAACGAGCTGGGTTATCAATAACAAGACACAATATTCAGTGCCGAAAGGTCTCCTTGCAACTTGTGCCGGTCTATGTAAGACCGTATTAATAAAAGTGTTCTACACTTGAACTCAACTCATCAGCCAAAAGTAATTTCTAGTGCCACTTCTTCTGTTATTTTTTGCATGGAAATGTTGGTTTTGTTGAATTTATTTATAAAAATCAACTGGCAGTTAGTTTATCAGCCTTGCGCAATGCAGGCAACTTCATGCTTCTCATGTTTTTTTATCTTGGCCCTGCGTCCAAAACTGTCAAGAGAATGAAAAAATGGAAAGTTTTGTACATTTAATACTTTTCAAATGTTGATATTCATATCTCATTGGTGAACAGTTTAAAATCGGTTCTTATTTTAGGCACAAAAATATTTTCTATTTCCAAATGCGATCGTCTCCAATTCACTTGTCCATTATAACACTTGTAAAACTACACTTGGGAGCCATACACATCTTAATGCGCTGTCATCACGTAATCTTTATTCTAGACTGGCGGGGCATGAAGGAAAAAGTTGTAGGATTGGCCATTTACTAGGGCTGTGCAACGCCCTCATTCGGCTGTGCAACATGGGGAGCAGTGTAACGTACGCATATCCGATTGTGACTGTAATATTTAAGCTTCTACTTCAATTTGCGGATTTTAGAATGCCTGCATGTTTCTAAACAGAAGCCTACGTTACATACATGCAGACTAGCGTTACTCGCTGATTTTTTTGGAGTGTAAGAGCAGATTAGATAAGGCTTAATTTCAACGCACACGTTTCCGGACGCGTGTACAATTCACATGCATCGTTTACATTAAGCGCGCTGGGCACATAATTGCCATGCTTAGAACTCATGTAAGTGCCTGAACTGGGTGAGAATAGGAGCTTCTTTCGAGTTTCATTCCTTCAAGAAATTAATTGGGCAAAGAACTAAAAAATTGGCTCTTAATTATCGGTCAAATAAAATGTGATGTCGATCAATACTTGCTTCATCCCCAAGCCGATGGACTTTTACGATGATCCTCAGCACGAATAATACATAGAGTGTTAATTGTGCTTGGCCAGGCGGCCCATATCGCGCTCATTGCACGTACAGGACGAAATATCGTTATAGATTTATTTGGCTGGAACATGGAAAATTCAAGAAGTGATTTTGCCCCTAGAGCACTTGAAATTAAGGCTCGATTAGCGTTTCTAGTGTTTACCTCTACTGTGTTACACAAAAGAAACAATTTTATATATAGTATCATATCCGATATAATGTTTACGTTTTCACGTATAGCTAACGACAGCCATATCCGTTGAAGATATTTGAGTAAAAATGTGACCAATGTAGTATTCAATCAAATTACCTCCACAAAGCCTTCATAAAATTGGACAATTAGCTACATGATTGTTCTTCATTGCTCTGCTAAGTAGAAATTACACACAAACATCATCGTTTCTGATTGTCTCATGGAAACCCTGTAGAATCTCAGATGACAAATAAGATACATGTATAATATTTAATGGCTAGATTCCACATCATTACAGGTAAAAGTGGACGACTTTACACTAGTGAATTTAAAATCAAGTCGTGATTACAACCATAAATGAGAGATGAAGTAAATTTATCGAAATTCCGACTCAAATTCGGGTTCAAATTTTGGTTGCGGAAAATAGTCAAATAAATCAAATTTGTCGTATAAATATTTAGTAATATCTTCAATGATATAAAAATAATCGAAGATCGAAAGCGATGACTTAAATATTCTTGATACTTACTTGACTTATTTTAATTTCAAATGCAGCTGGAAATGTCGAGCAAGATTAATCTGAGTGGCGGGCGGTACGCCGAGGAGCTTCCTGGCGCACTGATGCAGCGCTACGTCCAAGACTTCACCGGGACTATGGGGCCGATGTTGCGCATTGAGCCCTCTGGCACTATCGTCACGCACGACTACAAACTCATTGAGAAGGAAATATATAACTTCAAGGTGGGTTTTGAGTACATTAATTTGTTTTTCATTATATTATAAAGATAAATATAAAAATATTTATTAAGTCGATTATTACTATAAATATATAAAATAATTGTCGATTATTAATATAACTATATTTTCTACGTATTATATTATTGCGAAATGTTCGAAATCATAGTTTTTCGCATGCAAATCACCATAGTACACTATCTATACAATGGACTATAAACGAGTGTTATTGTTGAATCACACAGTCTCATTATTGGTGTGCACAACACATTATTCGTACTCTGGAGTGCCCCTGGGCCCACTAAGTTGAACCTTCTTGATGGTCCAAAAGTCGTAAGAAGAATTTTCTCCAATGAAATAATTAAGAAGCTTTTTCTAAGATTTCTCGACCGTCCATAACAGATTGCAAATGCTCTTTGATTGGCACTGCTGTATGGTGAGTCATCAATATCCAGTATAATGTCATTACATCCGCCATTTACCTGCAGTGAACGTGCTAAATAATGACTATGGTAATGCGTTATTGAGAAATGGTATCTATGAACCAATTAAGGCCATTAAATTAAATGACTTCAACCGAGATTCTTTGTAGACAACAATATACCTTGCTAGAAAGACCATAACGATATTCGAGAGTTCATAAATCATGTTGTCATTTCTTTGTATGGTTCATCTGATTAATTAAGTGAGCAGCAAACCAATTGGATTGGCAGTAATTCAAACGACAAATACCACTCTTCTCTCTGGTCACTTGATGTCACAAGTTCGAATCTTATGACCGTTGGTCTCGGCTGTAGAACGGCCATATGATTCGAACTTCTCATCTCTACATCAAGTCACCAGAGAGGACTTGATGCGGGTTGGTCTCGGCTGTACTGAAAGAAGCACTTTCAAAATGTATTGCTCGGAGGTGGTAAACTATGGTTTGTAGAGACCACACAGAAAATATATCGACGTGCCACAAAAGGAATATGGATGCCCTCCTGATGTCGAAGGTCAATTATCAGATTTATGGCAGAAGTGGCCATCTTCATGATCAAGGTACAGCATTGACACATCGGATGCCCCTCAGCTATTCTCCATTTGTAGCTTCAGCAGTTCGCAACCGCACCACCTACAAATAAATTTTCGGGGGGATACTGTAGCGCTTCATTGTCAGGAACTAACGTGATGTTTTCTCCATCCATGTCATTATGCACAATGATAAAATGTCGTTAACTTGAACCAATGAACAGGGTTATTATAAATAATGGACCCAATTCAATAAATTCGTATTGCATCAAGTGTGAGCTCAAAATGAACAATTCCTACATCAATGGAAAGTAGAAGATTTAATGTTTTTTTTTACATATTTATAGATGTTCAATTCGGCAAACATCTACACGGTAGCTAAGCAGTATTTTTCGCATAGACGAAGATCTGGCTCTTCACTTTTGACCATCGATGTCGCCTGATCTCACCCCATGTGACTATTTCATATGGGGTTACGTCAAGAAAGCTGTTTACTTCCCACCTCTAACAGCAACTCTGTTTACGTCCCGCCTCTACCAGCAACTCTGTTTACGCCCCGACTCTACCAGCAACTCTGTTTACGTCCCGCCTCTACCAGCAACTCTGTTTACTTTCCACCTCTAAGCCTCTACCAGCAACTCTGTTTACGTCCCGCCTCTACCAACCAGCAACTCTGCTTACGTCCCGCCTCTATCAGCAACTCTGGTTGGTCCGAAGAACCGCATCACTGCTTCAGTGCACTCAGTAACAGAAGATATAAGCTTTCTCGTGTGTGGGTCGAGTTTGGCTATCGTTTAGATGTTTGCCGTGCTGCCCTATGGGAACATATAGGACATATATAAATGTGTAAAAAAAATTGGAAGCTTTCTCTTTCAATTGGTGTATAACTTTTTTATTTTGAATCTATACCTTAATAAAAACGAATTTATTAAATTGTGTCCATCATTTGGAATAACCCTGTAATTCTAATTTGTGTAGGTGAAAAGGCGAAGAACTGTCCGATAAACTTAGGGTGTGCATATCACGATTCAACTTTCCAGTTCCGACCTGATGACGTCTTGTTAATGACGTATCCGAAGTGCGGCACTACCTGGGGCCAGGAGATCGTCTGGAATATGAGGAATAACCCCAACCTGGACCACCCCAACCCAGAAGAATAATTGTTTTCAAGGAGCCCATTTATTGAGTGAGAATTAATGAAAAAACAAAGTCAGCTGAGTTAATTGAGCAGTAATTTCAGCATTTGTTGTTAACTATAGTCCGTGAAGGTGCGAGAAGAATATCAAATTAAGATTTATAACAAGTAAACCCTAGCTTCAATTTTGAATGCATGGGATCGTCATTTAAACAAGCTGGTAGATATAATAAATCTACATTGGAATTTTTCGCTTAGTTGCAAGTTAGCCCTTGTTGGATCATTTTAAGGCGTCGCTTGAAATTCAGTTATTTACCTAACTAATGTTATGCTGGCATGTCTGCTGATCGTAAGCACAGGAATGATCCCACGCAGGTGAACATTAGCTAAAGGAGAGGCGAGTTGCCTTCATCTGTTTCAGGAAATAAGTTGAAAAGAAAAAAAAAAGAGCATTCTTAATCGCTGAATTTCTGAAGCAGGCGGTTTCATGACACTATCATGAACTTAAGTTGATGTGCGTTATGAATCAATCATGGAGATAATTATTAGAGCCCATTTTTCATCACTACGAATAATTATATATTGAAATTCAGTTATAGCTACGTGGACTATTAAAAGAAAACTGTCAACGTTGACATCAATGATAAACGATTAAGCCTTTTCACGCTGACTCATTCAAAGGGTCTCCCCCTGTTTGGGTCCGAATATGGTGTTATATAATATGGTCCGACCGTATAATGTGTGGCCCATATATGGTCTCCAAATATCGTAAATAAGGTTTATTATATTTTGGGTTCAATGTGTCTTGAGGAGTGCCTCACAATAATCGATGCTCACACAATAATGACCAGCGTTCACTTGTTACGGGTAGGGTAAAGTTTGTTAATTCCGATCTCAAACTGAAGCTTGGATGGGACCTTATCAACTGTAAAAATTAAGTACAAAATAGGTGGCTTTACTCACGGTTCTCGTAATTCTCAACCTGTAATGAATTGTATGTTTTAAATTGATTAATTCCAGTGATGTACCTAAATTTCGTGATTGTTAGAAGTTTACGGTGAATTCTTTCATATAATTATTATACATATAAGAGATGAACGAGAAAACCACCTCCTACAAACATATAACTGCAAATTCGATGCACGTACTGACGCTTCTCTTTCTTAACCGAACGTTTGTTAAGCAGAATAGTATAATATTCACAGAAAATTATGTAGCAAACCCTCAAGAAGCTCATTGAAATATTCAGTTGCACTCTTCTATCATATTCCTACCATTGAATTATTTGATATATAAATATTTTTTAAAGCGAGAATTCTATGACATATCCAATCTATGAACATCAGTCAAGTAAGATTTTTCTCTATAGACAAACATTCTCTCTAAATGAAATATGAAACGAATAAGAGCCTTCAGACCTATAGCTATTTTTAATTTAGTCCCGATTTTTCTGTATCAATATTATTGTTGTAGGGCGAACGTTGTATCAATATTATTGTATTTCGCAGGGCGGACATGCTGACGTTTGGACTGATGCAGCTGATCCCTTTTGACTCATTTCTTTCCAATGCCATGTTTGCAAACTTCAGATCTCGTTGTCCGAATTTGGACTCAAAACGTGGAATCCACCTGCAGGTGTGATATTAAACATCAGAAATTCATTTCATTTCACTTAGTTTAGAATGTAACATTAAAAATGAGACCCTCATGTTTTGAAGGATATTGTAATGAAAAATCTTATTAGGTGATTGGCAGTATTTATTTCTTAATGATTAATTTTGTCAATATGTATTTATGTTAGAACTTGCGTAGTAAGGCAATCATCAAACAAAAACTGCTATTGAGAGTATCTACGAACTAATTAAGGAAATATCGTAAAATGTTTCATGACATTGAATGCATTATATCAAGCATACTCATATGATTTCATATGTATGCCTAGATCTCAACCTTCTGCTTGCATATGTTCCGTCTATAGTTCCTTTGAGAACTTCAGATCTGCATCGCGCTAATCACAATCCGTGTGATGCTGCACCTGATATTTTCCCAACTTATTCAAAGTTTTACATTTCTTCAGAAATTTTAAAGGAATTTTATGTTACTGTGCACACGCTTTTGGGTTTCAAAGATTTTATTGCGTTATATATATATATATATATACGTTATATATATATATATATATATATTAACATGGTTCGTACAATTACCGGACAAAATTAATTACAATTCGTAACATTACCGGACATCGGGTACAAAACCGGACAAAAATCGAGTCCGGTAATTGACGCTAGTACTTATTTATGTGTAAAAACCGGACACGAAAATAAATGAACTACATTACCGGACACCAAAAAAACGCCAACCTCGTTAGGTTAGGGTTAGAGTTAGGGTTTGAAGTGTCTAAAACCCTTCTTTAGGTTGCTAGAGACCGTTTTACTGAGGTTAGGTCCAGCCAGGTCAAGTTTTTTTTATATATTTTTTGCAATTTAGAAAAAAAATTAATTAAAGTCCGGTAAAGTGGAACTATATATATATATATATATATATATATATATATATACGTTATATATAAAAGTTAAAAAGTTATTTTTATAAAGAGTTTGTGCCTTGTGAACAAACCCTCTGAGAATGCGTGTTGCTGATCGCAGGTGGCAGAATCACTGAAGGAGCCCCGCACCCTCAAGACACACCTGCCCTTCTCCTGCCTCGCCCCCGGCCTCTTGTTTAAGTGCAAGGTAACTAATTCAGTTGGATTAGAATATCGTGTGCGAGTCACACGCTCTAATGGCACAGGCTGGAAAAATATAATATTTTTGTATGGCTTGCATCCGTTCATCAATACTAATCGCATAATACTCATAGTGGTAGAGTTGAAGATTTTTGAAATTACTTAATTAGATCCCAGTAGGTTTGAATTTTACCAGTAGGATTGAATTGAATTGAATTTTACCAAACAATTTTTTTCTAGTTTTGAAAATTCCAATATTTCAGACCATTTAATATTGTCTTTATTATGCAATTTGAAATTTTGTTATCGAAAAAGTTCGTTAGTGGGCTTTATATAAATTCAATGTGTGTCCATGCAACCGAATGAGGTGAGGTTGCAATTGGCCCATAAAATGGTTCCCTAATTTTTAGAGTGAACAATTTCTTAGGTATAGTGTAGTTATAGTAATGTTAATAGTATAGTAGTGAAGGCGTTGTAGAATTTGTTAGTTGGAATAAAAACCGAGTAGTGGACAGTAGTGCTATTCCAACATTGGATACAAACAGAGTTCTAAATCGTAGGAAGAAATCAGTACTATCAAATTTGTTCAATTTAATGTTCAATTACATTTGTAATAATTCACAATGTCACTGAATTTTCCTGATTTTACTCAGGGTTTTCGGCGCTACCATGTCTTCATAGATGGAATTTAAAAATCCAGATTGAAAAAGTTTTCTGCTTGCTGTCCTTGAAATTCTTACAGTTCTAAATATCAGGAGCTAAGCATTACAAACTAAATTATGTGAAATTTTGAATTATAGAATTATTATAACTCCATTATTAAATATTGAGAAGAAAATTTTCACCACCAACTTATCAAGTCTTCACGAACATCATAAAATACTTGTCACCAGGTTATCTTCATCGCCCGTCACCCGAAAGACGTTGTGCTATCTTACCAACATCACTGCCGCCTGATAAAGGGACACGGGTTCACTAACACACAAGACGTCTTCATCAAGTACTTCGTTGATAACTTGCGTAAGATGATGACGCCTAAATGAACTCATCGAAAATTAACAAACTGAACAACTAAAATGAAATACTATTTACAAACTGAAATACTAAATTAACAACGTCTACTACTAAGAATAGACGAAATAGATACTAATTTCTTCATCCAGTAAATGAGCAGATTTATTAATCTGAAAATCGGTATATTGTTTCGTTAACTCCAGCATGTCGTGAATTTTTGTTGACGTGTTGCTGATTATGACGCAAATGCTTCAATGATATAACTTCCGTTTTACATAGACAAGATGGACTGATGCAATGCTCGGCAGGAGATATAATTTTAGTGTAACAAAAATATGCAGCATAGAGCATCCAATGATCCTTGTTAGCTTGAGAATGATAAGCATGGATCAGTGTATTTGGTATACAACTAGCATTTGGTGAAACGGACATCCTATGAAAATCGTTCCAAAAAGCCGTGAATTTTGAACACAACGATTTGTTTAAATCCCGTTTATTCGTATTTTTTTGGAATTATGGTCCTCCTTTAATAACTGAATAAAACGTGATGAACAGAGGCGTCAGTGTGGTTTTAGAGACGGGAGGGCTTAGTCCATTATCACTATATAGGGAAACCAAGATATAGGAACTTTTAAGGTAATAATTAATGGTTGTACTATTATTTGTTTTGAAGTAACAAACATCCAGACCATATTATGTTGAATTTATCGTAATTTTTTTCAAATGGAAGTAGAAATAATTACTGATAAACATAAAATTACTTAGGAGGGATTTAGAGTATTTTAGTGGGGATTTAGCCCCTATAAGATAGGACTAGTGACACCACTTTTGGCGAGGTTCAGCCAATGAATTTCCCTCGCGACCATTGTTTTCCTGGCTCTGATTGACCTCCGCTATGTTGCTCTGTTTGAGAATCAAGGCGATTGGGCAAAAAGGACAATGTATTTCAAGGTATAATAATTCATCATGCATGGTCAAGATTACTCCGTGAGTGAATGAGATGAGGAGTTGAATTTTCTCTTGCGCATGCAAACACATGCGATCACCAACAAGCCTCTGTTTGGTCTATCATAGTTTTAGTAATTCCCGGCGGTTGGATGATACATTCGTACCCTATCAAAATTTAGAGTCGCCCCAGCTTCTGGCAATCCAAATCAGAAGCTGCCGCGTCTGTAAATTTTCACTGGGTATATATTTCCGACTTTTTAACTTTGTATGCTTTAAAAATTTAAAAACGTTCAATCAAGATATTATTTCCTATTTTTCCTCATCCTACATGCCTGTCTTAATTGTATCACGGACATTCGGCCGTTTATCAATTTCCTATGAATCGACTGTAATTCTAAGTAAGGTGAAATGCTGATCAAATGCTGAAATCATTCATACTACATTCACATCAGTACTTTGGGGCTCGTACGGCAACATGGTGCGGGAGGCGATGCAGTATAAAACGCACCCCAACCTGCACGTGATGTTCTACGAGGACATGAAGGCCGACATCGCCGCTGAACTGCGTAAACTCAACACGTTCCTCGGCACCCGCCTGTCGGAGGGGCAGCTCCGAAACGTGAGTTGACAAACGGTGGAAATCGGGGCGTAAGGTGAATGATAAACAGTTCAAGTTCCTTCTTTTACTTTCTGCAGTGAAAAGATGATATATGTTAATGTTTTGAACAAATCGTGGATGGACTTATTTTGGACTATCAGACTAATGGAATTATCAGACTAATGGAATTAGTCTGATAAGTTTGAATGATATTATTCCTTCTTCAAAATTAGATATATCAAGGACTACGCTAATTAAGTTTGAATTGTAATATTACTTCTTTAATTAGAATTAAATTCATTTTGCAGGAGCGCATGAAAGCTGGATTGTCTTTCATTGTGGTTTGTGGGGCACTTGTCGTCGGACCAGTACCTGTTTATTCCAATGAAATTGATTGCATGATATCTAGTAATAAAATTGAAATGGTTTGCATCCTTGAAACAATACATGACGATGGAATTAGCGTAGAGTAGTATGCTTGAAACACGACTAAGTCTAGAGGGTCCGCCATATTATGGCAACGCATGTTTTTTGTTATTTCTCAATGAAACAAAGAGGTGCATTTTTTTACTGGATGAGCTAGTAGCCAAAAATTACCTAAACAATTCTCAGATATATTTATTCAATACGAACGCCCTTATTGTTAATGACGGCCTCCAATCTACGCCGGAAAGCTTCACAGGAGACACGCAGCATTTCTTGAGGGATCAAAGTCCCTGTAAGGGCACGCGATCCACTCTTCTTAAAGTCACTTGTTCTGCATACCAAAGCTAAACTCGACGCTAGGGCCGATTGTAGACTTAGATCTTGTCCACCCACACTCGACAGGTGAGCTTGTTAACCAACGGCTAATTCTGGTTCTATAATTTTGTACTATATTTTTTTGTGATGAATTATCCATTTTGATGTAAGGATCCTTTGGCGCCTGCCCTTAAATTTAGTCATAAAATCTTAAGCTGCGCTAGATTTTCTTAAAGGGGGAAGTTGTGTAAGGGCACGCGTTCCACTCTTCTTAAAGTCACTTGTTCTGCATACCAAAGCTAAACTCGACGCTAGGGCCGATTGTAGACTTAGATCTTGTCCACCCACACTCGACAGGTGAGCTTGTTAACCAACGGCTAATTCTGGTTCTATAATTTTGTACTATATTTTTTTGTGATGAATTATCCATTTTGAAATAGACCTTGAAATGCCCACGAAAGCAATACCTACATGACTGTTCAATCTCGACAGGTCGGACCTGAACGGCCGAACCTACCGTCCCGCAAGCTCAAATCTCGTTGCCTTATTTTACTTTAGATTATCCGGGTTACGTTCCATTACTTTACGTAACTCAGCTTTACTTTACTGCACTAATGTAACTGTTCTTTGCTACCGTAACTTTTCCGTCACTTGCGTCGCGTAGCGCCTGAAATTGACTCCCCTTTATTTAGCATTCTTTGATCTATTGTTAATAAATGTTTCTGTTTACTCCTGAAGTTGTTTTGCATCCACCCCATACGTTAAACGAACCGTATCCCTTGACAGTCCCATTCTCGAGTCAATTTAGACTTAAAACATCCAAAGAATCATGAGGTGTTTTGCAGACCCTACTCTCTAAAATAGCCCACACAGAAAAGTTGAGAGAATTCAAATCAGGGCTTCTTGAGGGCCATTCTTTTTTGCTAATTTGAACGCTGGGATGTGACCCTGAATCCAGTTTTGGGTCATGTTTGAGCCATGTGATGGGGCAGAATCTTGTTGAAAATTCCATGGTGAGCCGTTTAAGTGTTTACGGGCCCAAAGTAACAAAACAGCTTCCAAAATTTCCAAAATGTATCGCTGACTGTTCAATTTTCCTCCTGAGGGGACAAAAACGAGTGGAGACCTCCCAGTGGCGGTTACCGCGGCCCAAACCATCTCGGACATGGGATTTTGACGTCGTGTTGCTGTTCTGGTTGCTGCAGATCCATCCCGACTCCAAAATCTGTCATTTTGACGGTTAACGCTTTGTTCAATGTCAAATTTTATTCTCGTCACTGAACACCAAGTAGGGCAGCGTGCTATCCTCAATGAAATCCAGAATGTGCTGGTATCTTTCGAGCCTCATTCGTTCAAGACGGTCTGTTAGTTCATGCCTTGTTTGCATCTTGTAAGAGGAGGTTTTGAGGTCATCTTTGAGCATTGATGTCTACACATTGATATCTGACTGACTCCTGCTTCTGCAAACCAATTTTGTAGCTGAGCGACGAGGGTTTCTCCTCAACTTCTCCCTCGTGTTTTTTACCAACTGTTTTGTTCGGACACTTCGTTTCCTTCCTTGACCGGTCGATTGCATGTTTCACCAGTTTACTTTTTTACCACCTTCCACACAGTTTCACGACGAATTTGGAGCTTTTTGCAATGACTGAATTACTCTCGTCCTTTTCATGAAGGGTTACAATTGCATTTCTATCTACTGCCATAAGTAATAGTAAATTTAGAGACCTTAGACTTCTGCAATATAAAATAGATGAATTATTAGATGATATTAAGCTTCATTATAAAAGAAACAGTCTCCTAGAAATCAAGTTATTTCTATATAGCAAACATCCGTTGCCATAAATATGGCGGACCCTGTAGAGAACCGTGAAATTTATTACCAACCAGATTAAGAAGATAAAAATTATTCAGATTAAGAATATATAAAATTATGCTCCAATTACCGCGGTCATAATATTGCTGATAAACAATTATTCAGAAAGTAGACGAAAATAGCACTGTTAAGTTACAATTAAGAATTATTGCTGTGACATTTTATGCAATAGCGAGCAAGCAAAAGCTCATCATCAAATACGACAGCTCAAAAATTCATGCTCTATAGGAAGTATGAACAATTATTTTTATCTGCATTTCGAGAATTTTCGTAAAGTTCTCAGTGCTAATTATTGTTCACAGGTGCAGAAGCAGACGAGTTTCAGTAACATGCAGAGGATGGACCCGCTGAAGATGATGTCGTCTGTGATGTGCAACGAAGACGTCGCCCAGAAAGACGGAGCCTTCATCAGGAACGGTGGGTCTTCGTGACGCCTGTATCCTATTAAGATGGTTTTTATTCCTCAATATTAGCGATAACATGCCGACGCTACATTCAAAAATTATACCAATTCACTGATACCTCGAGCTTAATGAATTTTCTATTGAAGCATAGAAATCTAAGACGAGAACATCTCCTAAAAATATCCTGATTTTCAGAAAATTGTTTTCCTAATAATTGTAAAATGCATCGGGTTGCTTCAGAATCAATAATAATTTTTAACTTGATTGTTAACACTAGCACTCTCGCTGGCCTTCAGCTTTCGCTCCCTAGCATCACTAGTATCAATCAAATTCAGATACATTGCAGTTTTTGTGAAGCTTTTGCAGCAATATATTTTCTTTTTATTAGGCTTCTTACAGCGAGTTATTATTAGGCTTCTTAGAGGCGAGTTATTAGGCGATTTTATTGGGCTTCTCACAGCACGAAATAAAATTATATTGACGCGTTTGATAGATGTTTTTCTATGAAGAGCCCACAAAGCAGATTAACTCAAAAGATGGAAAAGGAATCTGAAGGCAGATGATAAGGATGTTACATACTTGTGCCACGTTGGATGACACTGGATATAATTTTGTTCCAGAATTTATAGAACGGTATGCTTTGCGGGAAGAAACCAGGATATTGTAGTTTTTGTCGTTTTACGACATAAGTTTGTATTTATTGAGCATAGGCATAGACATGTACCACTATTTTATGTTCCTATGATGTATAGAAGATCTTACAATATTTCCAGTAAATAATTTATCGTAGGAATATGTATTTCAATTTTACGAGTATAATACACTGTCATACATTGACATCATTACCAGAAGTATAAATGTTAACATTTAAGCGTGCTAGAAACTTTAAAGTGCATTCCCTTCCATGCCTCATAATTAACCCCGTATATAGAACTGTGGAATAACTCCGTTCGGCGTGTGTCTGTCAGGAGTTAAACTTTATTCATATTCCGCTTCTTATTGGTGACCGGAAATTCTGTCTGTGTATTTATGGGTTGAAAAATTTCACATTCTTTCCATCTATGCATTATATATGTCTTATTAGTGAACAACTATGATTAGAAAACATTCGGCGTGTGTCTGTCAGGAGTTTCTGGGGCGTGGAAAGGCAAGCTGACGGCGGAGCAGGAGAAGCTGCTGGACGACTACATCGCTGAGAACTTCCTGGACCCCGAGCTCAGGGCCAGGTTCATGTGATACTTTCATGTCCGGATATCAGTGTTAGCCTCAAGGTCATGTAAAAAGGGCTCATAATAGCTTAGCAATGAGGCTGACACTGATGTTTTGATGCTGGAGGTGACATCAAAGCCAGATAAAATGTAATGCATTCATATCTACATGGCAGCACTTCAAATGTGTTCTTAGACAAGAATGCACGTCTTTCTTGGTTTTCATTTGGATTTTTGTTTTTCGAAACAAGTTAGGCTCTTCCGCAAGCTTAAAAGCTCAGGCTCTTCCGCATTTGTAAAAATGCTAACAATTATTTAATTGCTCGAGTATTTGCTGGGAATAAATTTATTGCGAAACTCTGAGAAGCCTCTTTATTCCTGGCAACTCGTCTCTTGTAAATTACCAAAATTTCTCACTAAGAAAGCTAACGTTTCATTCCCCCAATCCACAATACTATCCGTAGTAGCAATTAAAAAATCCTTTCTTTCGAATTAATCGTATCGAAATATAGGTAGCACGTGTGTCGGGATTCTAGAAGTGCTTGTACACGGAGGCAGTACTGGCGGCCAGTAAAACTTGCATATACTCACCACATTTTTTTCAGTGCAATTGGTCTCGTGTATAGGAGTGACGAGACCAATTGGATACGAGGAGTGACGAGACTACTGGATACGAGTGGACCCAGTAACCATTTACTACATGAGGCCGCCAGCATAATGATTAGTCGTTGTTTAATAGTTGTACTGGCCTCAATTACTGTCCTCGTGTATGAGCATGAGGACCTTGTTTCGTTGGCCCTTTTGGTTTTTAAACGTCACTATTATTACCTGAAGCCGTAGTATAAAAAATAATCACGTGTTCTTAACTGAGTCTGTCAATCACTGTTAATGTCGCGCCAAATTTCACACTAAAACCATCAATCGCAGAGCAGTAATCGGCAGCAAAGTTTACTTAGACCGATACGTTTATAAAAGCCAGTATATTGAAGGTAGACGAACCCCTAGTCGGAGGCGACGACGAATCGAGCTACCAGCAACGCCTCACGGAATGTATTCACATTCATCATTAGAGGATGAAAGTGTTCCCTTTGTTAGCTATTTCTGAAAATATTTTCATCTATTTTAACATTAAAAAAATTGTAATGAACTAAGGTATGAATCTATAACAAATATCATTCTCGTGGATTTTAATGGCTAAAACAAAGTTTTCCTTTCAATTAATTTGGAACCGGAAACAAACGGGTTTGTCTGTGAATGCCAATTTTCAGTATGTCAAACCCAGTCAAAAATCAAAGGCGTGTCGCCGGCGTGTTTAAGTAGACTATGGTAGAGTCGCTCGGTTGGGGCGCCCGAGTAACATCTCCGCTTCATCGACGAAATGTCCATTTTTTTAAGCGCGACGGATCGCACTTAAACGGCATGTGGCCGCGGCGCGTTTCATAGACTGACCGCGCGCGGCAGCGCCTCCATCATCGGCGTAACGGTCATAAAACTCCGGCGCAACTTACATGGCCGCCTGTAATTATTTATTAAAAAAAACCTCGGCGGTATATCGCCGAGATCATTGCCTCTGCACTCCCATACTGGATATGCATACACATTCATGTGAACGTGCATGCATTTCCAGCATGACAGTACAAGCAAAGAATCTCGGGAATATACAGCCGAGGATACACTAAAATTATTGACTGCTAATTTTCATGATGCAGCGATATCACCTAAGGTTTTGACTACAACGACAGCGATATCACCTAAGACTTTGACATAAATGGCATGAACATCACCTAAGATTTTGACAATGGCATCGATGTCACCTAAGATTTTGACTACAATGGCATCGATATCACCTAAGGTTTTGACTACAAAGGCATCGATATGACCTTAGGTTTTGACTACAAAGGCATCGATATGACCTTAGGTTTTGACTACAAAGGCATCGATATCACCTAAGATTTTGACTACAATGGCATAGATATCACCTAAGGTTTTGACTACAATGAAACAATAATAAAAAGTGGGAGAATTGTATTGAAAAATCCATTTAGTAACAAGTTGTGAGCCTGCCAAATAGGTGTGACGTAGAAATAAATGCACATTACTGAACTGAATGACTGAAAGAAAAAGATTCAGACACGGGGTGGTGGCGGGCAGACAAGAGTGGCCGCGCACTAGAGATAACAAGTGTAGCATACAGATGGTACTTGCGAGCAAGATGAAGAACGTACCAACTAACATGGGAAGGTGTTGACTGAAGTATGCATGTGGTGACAAATAGATGAGCGTGTCTAAAATATTATGAAAATCAGGATCGTGGATATTTAGAAACATTATGAACTACATTTTAAAGCTTTCCTTTTTAGATCGATGACCCAATGAAACTAAATTATATGAAACTAAATCATCTGAACTAAATACTCTAGTCTGAACCGAAGATGTAAGATGGAGCAAGAAGCTCTACGGTTTTCTGTATGATGCCGATACTCGAAGTTTGATCGCCGTCACTGCAGGGACCACTCGTGGTTGCGGCAGACGTTGACGCTCCTGCTTCACATCCGAGGTCTGCAGCTGCAGCTGCATTTAACCTTCTGCCACGATGGCCGTCCCAATCTGTGGCACCTGAAATAAAGAGCAATTTAAAAAATAATTCTCAACATTATCAAATAATGTAAAACCTACACGACCAGCATACGATGGCCTAAAGTGACCTGGAAATTCATTGGAGCTAGCGGATGGGGAGTTAGGAGGAAAGACACGAATTAGACAAAGCTCTTGTATATGAAGTTGTGGGTAACTAACGAATTGGACGGAGTTCTTTCCTGATGAATGCTTCAGAAATAATAAATCGTTTGAGAAATGCACTATGCGAAAATCTTTGAAGAATTTTGCATTTCACAACCATGAACTTTATGTAGGACGCAAATAAAAATTATTCAATAAAAAATTAGCGATTCGAAGACAACTTTTTGTTAAATAAACTCGTGCTGTCCAATGAAATAAAGGAAAATTCAAATTTTGTTAGCTGTGCTGGCAATGAATTTCTATAACGAAATCTTTCGAAAGCGACAATTACCTTTCAGAGCATTCCGAATTGCTGCTTTCACAGCACTCCGTGGCTCACGGGAATACAACGGGTTCAGTCCAACGGAGCCTGCGAATGAGTACATTGAGCTTCATATAAATATATTAGAAAAGTTATCAAGTTTTTATGCCTCGTCAATACGGATCAGTTTACAACATTTTCTTCATATATCATGCATTCGTGTTTCCCGGATTGGTTGATTGAAAGTACTCAGGGAAGAATTAGTGCAAGTACTTTGTCTTGTCATAAACTCCTAGTAAAATTCCAGTCCGAAGCATTACGAGTAAACTCGCAGCGGTAAAGTTATCAAATTACTCACGCTCAACCAAGAAACAAGCTGGCGAGTTGTCGAATTTTATCTTGCAAGGCCGTCTCTTGTCACCGAGGCCTGTCATGGAGAACTCCATGGCCAAGGCTCGAGTCATGAGCATCTTCATCATTGTGATGACTGTCCTCGATAAATTGCACTCTGAGACAGCCTGCAGTGCTACAATCTGAATATAAAAGTATGTTCTATCATATTTTATATCATAAAACTTAGATAAGGAAGTAACGTAATACAGTGAAAACCTTTTTAACCACGTTTCTTCTATAGTACGGTTTCTAATATGAAGACCCTTATTATCACCTCCATCATTGACGCTAGTAAAAATGGAAAAAAATTGTAGTCAGAAGGGTATGGAGATTATGGATTCCCACTTCTGACGAAATATTGTGAATTTCGAAAAATTTAAAATCTACCACGGAAATCATAAGCTAGATAAGAAATCCTAGCATTTCTGCGCTTACAAACTATAGTAACATACGTTCAATTGCTTGTCATAGATTGAAAACGTCATGAAAAACAAGTGCCTAAAGGATAATGGAGTGTTTGCACGAAACGAATTTCAGTTCGCTAACTTACCATTTGTTCTCGTTTAACCAACTCTTGTAATTCTTCGTGAGAGTTGGCCGGATACATTGGCGTTAACGGAGCGTACACCAATGAAGGAATGTCTTTATTCATTTGCTCTTTGATTTCCTTCAGCAACATGTTGTTTTCGTGAACGACTCGATGAACTTGTTTCAATATCTTCGTACTTTCTTCATCCTCCGATACGCGTGCATAACTCAACGAATCGAGTTTGGCGCTGGCAATAAAAAATAATCATGAATTCTCTTGAATATTCTTACATTATTTTTAATCTCATCCACTCAAAAAAATATTTAAACTTCGTTTTTATCTCGTTTTAGTTTTGTTTTTGATTTGGTCTAGTATAGGTCTCGTGTTATTCTCGTATTGGTCTCGTTTCGGTCTCGTTTTGGTCTCGTTTCGGTCTCGTTTTGGTCTCGTTTTCGTCTCCTTTGGCGCTAGCCGAAAAAATGACCATCACGAATTCTCCGGAATATTGTTATATTATTTTCGATCTTATCCTCGTCCAAAAATAGTGAAACTATTCTTTAAAAATAAAATAGGGCACCTTCTATAAAAAATTGTTATCGAGGAATCAGCAAATTTATGGTACAAATTTGGACATATCGCAGGGTAGGCTGCCCAGCATTCAGTCACTCACCATGATGGGACAAACTCAGCGGTGTCCACCATCTGAAGCCGCCTGCCATCTGATGCCTCCTCTTCATCAGAATCAGACTCCGCTAGGTTGATAAAAGTAGCATTATGAAGATATTATACACCTTGCTTGGGATCCTAGCCGAAAACAAAGGCACTAAGATATTTCTTAGCAAATTATAACATAGGTTTGAGAGCAACATTTTTTTGTCGCCCATTGCGCTCACATACATGGAATAGAAAGCCAGCTCGATAGAACAATGTGGAAGAACGAAAAACTAATGATGCAAAACGAAGTTTTGTGAAAGTGAGAAATTGTAGGTTTTTATGTAATTCGGCACACACCTTGTCGACCGACGTCTTGGAGTAGTCTTCTCTTGACCCCCTCTTGTAGTATTGTGGTCTTCACGGAATGAGAACGGGGGCTTTTCCTCTTAACTGACGAACGCGCGGCGGTAGCTGAAGCGTCCCGTGCCTTCAGTCTAGGAGTTGCTGGAGAAGTGGGCTGTGCAGCCGAGCGCTGGGACGCGCCAGACGACCTTCTGAGATGTTGCATGGTCCTTGGACTGCAGGCTTCCGTTTCTGATGAAGTTGACGGAGCTTCCCCTAGGAGAATCATCTGCTCGGCTCGCTCAAAATCATCTGAAATAGACGTGACAAACCTTAACATTTGGATTACAACGAATTAAGTGTGAAGGGCTGAAAACCAACAGAACCTACAACTTGCAGGTTATAGGTACGCAAGGTCAACAAAAACTGGCCAAACTTCCACACACAGCCTCGAAATAAAAAATCAAAACATGAGCTCAACAATGCAATGCAAAGAAAATTGTTCGTGAGACCAGAAGTATAGTTAGTTTAGTAGCCATATGTTTACTAGCGCTTTAGCTATTTAGCTATCTCGCACCGATGAACATCACCACAAAGAGGTGGGAGGTCTCAGTCATCGAACGTATCTCAAATCAAAAATTGTTCATCACCCACAAGGGGCGGAAGGTCTAAATTGTCCAGCCCGCAGAGGCTGGCTTGAAGGAAGCAGCGTTAGCATCTCAAGGAGACGAAGTGACAAGGAGGGACAAGTGAAAAACAACAGAAACTAAGATACTCTAACAAGAGGTCGCTTACACGGGACGCCAGCCGCCCGCACGAGAGAGACAGAGAAGATAAATGTTAAGAATCCTAACTACAAAATAACTTGACATCACAACTGAGACCTATAGTCAGACACCGCGAGCTCAGTGATGGGGCGCTTAGGAACAATCCCCTTAGGAGCGCGAGATACCATAGGATTTCTGACGAGCACAGACACGCGTCAGAAGTCCCCCCTGAGGGGAGATGTATAGACAATTATGACTCTATGTATTTACCTGAAGCAACCGCTATGTTCCGGTATGCGTGGAGCGTCCACTGGTCTCCTATAGGAGTCTCATTTCTAGCCAAATCAGTGACATTACCCTGTGAAGGCCACCAAACTCTTTTATGACGTTTGTCACTACATAGCCAATCTGTAGGGACAATCTGCCATGTACTATCTAAGAAAAATATCCCTGAAAATTTCTTAGGCATGTCTGGATGGGATATAATCTGAAAAAAAGTTTTGGTTCATGGGAAGATGGGAAAATATTAGTTTCAAATGGCCCCTACCAAATGCCAGATGACCAGTGACATGATCCCAAAGCGTTCATTTTCCTAGATTAGTGCATTTTTCTACAAGACTGAGGCTAAGGAAGAAATTCAATACTCGTCTAGGAATTTAAAAGCAAAGAAAACAGCCAGAATATTAACCATTTCTTAAGAATGAAAACGTTTCGGAGTCCAGCTCCATCGTCAGTTCAAAAGTTCAAAACCTATAAGAAAATAAGAATCAAAGAGGCTGGTAAATAGAAGCAAAACACCCTACGTGGCCGACTTGCTCCTGATTCACCCCTAAGCCGAATATAGTTCCTCTAAAACGACCTTAATCGGCACGAAAATTTTGACAGGGTGCTCCTGATTCACCCCTAAGCCGAATATAGTTCCTCTAAAACGACCTTAATCGGCACGAAAATTTTGACAGGGAATGAGACAATAACATGACGAAAGAAAAATTTACTGAATGCTATGCAAAATGGCAATGGCAATGGAGGAGTTCTGTGATATGAGCATCTTACAGTGAACTTCATCAACACTTGTAGTGGCAGTTTGGCCAGAACATTCTACTCGATGTATCCCAACAGATTGAGAGTTTATAGGATCATTGAACAAAGGCCTTTTGTTCATGAGTTCCACAGTCAATTTAGAACCATTAATTTCTTTTATTATAACAATTCCGCCTGACTTTAACATGATGCAACTGTCCTTTAGACTCTGTGAGTCTGACTTCAATATTACTCCATTTTTCAGTACAATTTTATTTTTCAAAAATGTTTTAACATTACAGAGGGTTTGGCTAGGTTTTCTATTCTGGATGGAAAGATGGCGAAACAACTGTTCAAAAGGCTTATTCTTTCCAGACAGGCGACCTTTCACGCAAGTTCCCAGGAAATTTTCAAAGCTAAAGCAAGAAACATTATCTAGTGGACCCCATTTCACATAATCATCAGCCAAATGAAGCAAACAATGAACATTATATGAAATGAAGCTCATGCCATATAGTTTGACTGATGATTCAACAAACTGTTTCAAAAGTTGCTGGGCATTTTTGATATTTTCAAGTTGGTTTTTGCTGAGAAGAATGCGCATAGCTACACACAAGTTGATAAAATGTCTATAAAATGGCTGTGCTGTTATGCCTTCAAGTACAACAATTCCAGCATACAATAAGAAGAGCCGTAGCTCAGTGGCTTTCCAGAAGGCTAATGAATTCAAGCCTCCAGACATCTTCCTGCTGAATTCTGAAGGAACACAGTGGGAGAAAGCCACAATTCTTTCATTCAAAATTTCTGTATTAAAGCAACTAAGGTGGCACTTGACTTCAGCTTTTTGGAAGATTTTAGTCTATTCAAAATGCGCTTAGTAACACCAATGCAAACAAGATGCATGTAATCTAAGGCAAATGATGTGACCAGTCCAATATTCAGCTCCTTCAGAATTGACAAAGGTCCTGACTTGTGGTGATCAGGGTCACTTTTCATTAAAAATTCTGCATCATTCCTCAGTCGGGCAGCAGTGTCTTTGAGAATTACATGTCCTCCAGCATAGCTTCCTTTTTGGATGCACCGTTCACAACTGTTATAAGAATTGTGGTTAACAATACGTTTCAAATCGGCTCTTGCAGGTGCATCACATATAAATGCCTTGATGACAATTTTAATGTTATTTTCTTTAATGTAAATTCCATTTTCAATCAGGTCCTTCATTTCATTCACAAATTCCATTAGAAATTCATTAACATCAGGCATTTTGTTGGACTTGCCAGATTCCGACAGGTAAAAACCAACACAAATAATCTTGGAAGGACTCGAGCACAGTTCAATAAGAATTGGGTAGGCATGATGATTTCTCGAGTCCTCAAAAATTGGGATTCCATCAACATTAACATTGATAGATAGCGTGGGATTAGAATAATTTAAGTGGATCAGATGTTGCTCAATGCAAACTTTCCAATTATTTAGGTGAGCATAACGACCACAGTGCATCTTTTTTATGGATAGATCAACATTCCCTTCGTCTTTCAATGTTTGCGCCGTCAGAACAATGCCAGAAAAGAAAGAACCGAGATGGTGCAGAAGACTTGTGACAGTTGAATTGGGAACATTGGGGCAGTCAATCAGCCAGTTCTTAACTGCAGTTTCAACTTTAGTCTCCACAGGGAGATCAGGACAATCCTTGGCAGCTTGTTTGTCTTGAATCTCCCTGTCTTCATCAATGCTTCTGCAATCCTCTTCCTGGTTGGATTCATTTGAAGAAGATGAAAAATTAGGGCACTCATCTTTCTTCATGACCAAGTTTGAGGAAGAAGCTCTTGCCAGAACTGAAAAAGTGACAACTTCTATTAAAGGAGCTATAGCAGCAACATCCCCAGCTCCAGCACCCATATCATGAGCTGCAGCATCAATTAGAATAGCCGACGCATCCCCTGGAAGTGATGAAGAAACTACAACCAGGGCTGAAGCATCCACAACTGGAGCTACAACAGGCATTGATGCTTCATGACGACGACGTTTTTGCTGTCTACTAGACAAGTCAAGGTATGGCTTCCTGTTCATCACGAGTGAGCAGTCTGGAAGGAGAAGAAATGAGAAAACTATTGATATTGGCATCAAATTTGAAATTATTCAGATAGTCAAGTGAGCAAATCTAGAATCCCTTTTAATAGTATGCACTTCAATTTTTAAGGCGCAGTCAATTATTATTGGTGTTCTCTGAAAGTTTGCATCAATACAATTGGAAGTCTATAATAAAGCCAGGTTATTGTTCATTCAGTTTAAGCCTGATTTTCTTTTTCCTTCAGCATTTGCTAGGAATGAGAAGGATAAATTGATTTCATGTATGATAATTCAAATAAGAACAAATTCAGATTTACATATTGCCTCTCAGTTCTGCCTACGTCTTGAATCCTCATCAAAAACTGCTATATTATATACCATGAATAGCAGTAACAGATATTATGAATAATCACAATATCAAACATAACTTCAATTTATTTTTACCCAACTAGTATATTTCAATTAATGAACAGCATTCTGTATTATTGAATGTCCAATAACTGAAATTGATTGTGGTCATATGGCATTTTACTTCAAAGGTAAAATTAAAAAAAATTAACTGCTTCAACATTAAACTTGGTTGTCCTGTGATTGAGTAAACAGGAAGTGGTAGCAAGTGTCTTTCATAGGAGACTTGTATAGCTCATTCACATCTAGTGATTTATCAAAGTCACCCATTCTTCCTAAGGTCTCATTAAAAATGGGTAATGTGATTATTACAACCCATCTTAGGTTAGAGAATATAGATTTTATTATAATTTAAAGCATAGTTATTTCTCAAGATACATTTTATGTTAAGAATTCATCACCATACATTTCATAATAATAAACCAAACTACTCAATGGACTTATCACACGAATATGTGGTATCTGAGATATTGTCAAAAAATGATGCATGATAAAGCCATACAAGGTATGCCCATTTCTAAGCAGTGCATACCGTATATAAACTAACTTCTCTGAATTTCTGTCAAAGGACATTTTTCATGAATAATTTGAATTATTTATTTATAACTAGAAAATAAATGCAGTAGGCTGATGTCTCTCAATATCGGATGGTGTTCAATATTTTGTAAATGAGACACCAACAAGAACATAATAAGGGAATATGATTCATGTCATTAAGTGGTTTCCAAATGTAATATAACAAATTCGTTTAGTGGAAAATATATTTTACCAGACCAAAGGATTTTGATTTTCATTTTACTCTTGATCATCAAAATAAACTTTAGAAAATTTGCACAAATAGCCAATCTTTGACATCATGACATAGAATTTGCTTAACCCAATTCATTTGGAAACTTGTTAGAATAGTGACCAATGACTGAAAACTTAATGAGAAGCCAGGACATGATATTGAACATTTCTAAAAACTATTTGTGAAAACACGCAATGCACATTCCATTTATAAAAGCTCCTGACAAATTTTGTTAGTGGGGTATTGGTTGGATTTCTCAAATCTATGGCCATGCGTTTGTGTGTCATACATAGTGGAATACCAGAAATTTTTTTTAAAATCAGTTCATTTTGTATTTCCTCATAGAATCAATATTTTGATAAATTTCTTATATATGATAACAATGGTATTCAAGATGATTAATAGTTTACTAATAAGACTCAAAAACTTGAAGAGCAACAAAAAAATGTACTCCTCCGCCGCTATGCACGTATAAATATGATTAAATAATGATTGAATTATCCAACTTTTGAAAGCAATGCCTGGTAACTCAAAAAAGAAGTTGAGATTTAACTATTTGTATTTAAGGTGTATTCAGCAGTATGGAATTCTACTTCTAGTGATTTGAACTTATGGTTCCATGATCAACCCAGCTTCTTCCTGGCAACTTGCTCAGTTCCACACTTACACAATACAAGTCAAGTTCAACATGAACAATAGGATTTTATATAGTATATGTGTACCTGTTCATATATCATCAGACCATCCAACCAGAATTCAGTGAGTGAGTGACTCACTCACTGGGATTGGGTCCAATGGACTCTCCACTCTCCAGTACTTGGGCCATTTGTCCAGTTTCAATGAAGAATCATTGAGATATAGTATGGACTATGGAATTTGCATTTTATCAACAATCACTTCATGAATAAGTACTTACAAATCATACTCAGTATAATTAATCTGAGCATGCTGCTTTCATGCTTATATTCCAAATTTCACTACCTATTCCTCCGGCAGATGGAAATCATGGAATGTTCTGAACAGAATATACTTGTCTGACTCTGATTGAGTCCTCTACTCAGTCTAAAAGTAGTAAGGTAAAATCACCAGATCATATCTATTCCCTGATGAAGTTCAAAATTTTATTCCATATCTATGCTTGATTATGCTGAACATTGCCCATGCCCCACTGGCCATGATACTTACTGGTAGGTCTAAAAAAAGA